AAACCTCCATGAGATATTCCAAAACAAGTTCTGTGGCTTTTAATAGTTCCCCCCTAAAGACGGAAATCTCTCCAGCCCGAACCTAAGTTCCCAAGCCAGCAAGCCACAACACCGTGAATTCCTTAGGGTGGTGCCAGTCCCATCTTCTTAAACTTCTCATGCTCCTGCTGGGGGCTAAGGAAACGCTTATCTCCCTTAGCGTGGCCTTCATAACACCATTCCATCAGAGGTGGTGGCACTGCAGCTCCAGAGGATTCTGGATGATACGGATTATCTGGACCCCTTTCAGTCAGGTTTCAGGCCCAGATATGGAACAGAAACAGCATTGGTCGCACTTATGGATGATCTCTGGCAGGAGCAGGATGGAGGCGGTGCATCCATCCTGGCTCTCATTGACCTCTCAGTGGGTTTTGATACCATCGACCATGGTATCCTTCTGGACCGACTCAGGGAGTTGGGGGTGGGCGGCATAGTTTTACGTTGGTTCACCTCCTTCCTCCAGGGCCAGTCCCAGTCGGTGTTGATAGGGGAGGAGAGTTCGGGCCTGCGGCCCCTTCTTTATGGGGTGCCGCAGGGTTCGGTACTCTCTCCTCTCCTTTTTAACATCTACATGAAACCGCTGGATGAGATCATCCATCTCCACGGGATAAGGTATCATCCATATGCCGATGATACTCAGTTACACATCTCCATCCCGGGGGAAGTAAGTGATGCTGTGGCTGCCCTTTCCAGGTGCCTGGAGGCTGTAGGTGTCTGGATGGGGAACAACAGGCTTCAGCTGAACCCTGGCAAGATGGAGTAGCTGTGGGTTAATGGCCCCTCAGTCCCTAGGAATTTGCCATCTTTGGTTCTGGATGGGATTGCACTGCCCCAGACAGACCTGGTGCATAACTTGGGGGTCCTCTTGGACTCACGACTCCTGCTCGAAGAGCAGGTGGCAGTCGTGGCCAGGAGGGCCTTTGCACAACTTTGTGTTGTCTGCCAGTTATGCCCTTTCCTGGATTAAGAGGCCCTTTGAACAGTCACTCATGGCCTGGTCATCTCCCATATAGACTATTGTAATGCGCTCCACATGGGC